TAACAACAACCTGTAAATAGAGTCAGTGAAATTCACATCAGGTTCTTCAGAAATGAAGTGTTTGTTCCCTATGCCTTTTACTTTGCAATAGTTTGAATAACTTTTTATGTTTTTGTTCTGATTTTATTTTTTAATATTTCAGGCACATTGTATAACAGCACTTCTGACCAAAACAAGTTCTCAGGCTCCTTCTAGCTTCTACCAAGGCGGTTTTGTGGCCCCTAACCCTATCTTCTTAACCTCCTCCACATTACTAACAAATTCATTCACTCAGTCATCATTTCAGTGAATTGTTAGAAGAAGCAGATGAGAGCCTGCTCTATTAGACAGGATTCCAGAAATTAGAACTAGAGATTCATCAAGACAGCAGAGTGACTTCAGTAGAGGAACAGCACCAACATACAGAATACATGCCCACACATGTCATACTAATGAACATGCACATGGGTGTGTGTCATGACAATGAGCATGCATACACATGATCCAACACAAGACTGTGAATTTATACAGACGTCTACCACAACAGATAGTGAACTAAACCGGTGGTCGTGCACACCCGCCTACTACACCAAACGGAGCACCCACATGCGTGTCACCCCAGACCCTCATTAGTGTTGTACAGAAACTCATTGCAGGGGAGGACATCCTGTGTGTGAAAGGACATAGTATGGCAGAGGTGCCGGGGACAGCTGCCTCACGTTACTCATGAGCAGGTGTACTGAGACGTTCAAATAGCTGTGGGCAGAAGACTTGGGTGCAGAAAGCAATGCATGCAACTTCATGAGGCAGGCAAGAGGGTGTTAGAGAAACAGCCAGGAGACCCCTGCAGAACCAGCGGGTGAGGGAAGCAGAGGAAAGAGGGACAGACCCACACCCATGGCCATGAGTCCATTCCTACTCCTAGCAACACTGTGTAGGGTTTCCGAGGTGGTAAATCTTTATGAGAGCAAAAAAACTCATCTCTCTCCCATTGAACAGCTGGTGGGTTTGAACTTCCAACTTTATCCTCCAGCAACACCAGAGCTCCTATAGAGACAGAAATGGGGAAACTAGGGTCTGAAATTGATGCTACAATATTAGGGTTTGTCCTGAGAGTGGGGGAAACCTCTGGGGATGAGGAGGCTTTGGTTAGACTTTAGGATCAAGATGTGATTGGGGATCCACTTGGGGACTACTTCAGCGCCCAGGTTAGAGGGGGGTGGTGGACAAAGGTGGGAGTTGTCTGCATGAGATGTAATTTGAAACAGAACTTCCTATCGCATTCAGCTCGAGGATGCCTTGGGGAAGTGAGTCAGGTATGAGCAGTAGGAATGCAGCCTGACAAAGGACACGTGTGTACTTTATAATTTTTGGAAAACGAGAGAGATACAAGTGAGCAGGAACTAGTGTCCTTTAGTCAGTGGACCAGGGCCAGTCCTATATTGTCCACACTTGAGTCCCAGATGTGGGTTTCCAGATTGCTGAAGAAGATGCAATGAGTAAGGACGGAGGG